AGCACTAACACTCGCACCAACCCTAACACAAGCACTAGCACTAACACTAGCACTAACACTAACACTACCCCTAACACTAGCAATAACACTTGCCCTAACACTAGCACTAACACTAACACTAGACCTAACACTAGCACTTACACTAGCACTAACACTAGCCTTAACACTAGCACTAACACTAGCACTAACACCAGCACTAACAAGAACACTAACACCAGCCCTAACACTAGCACTAACACTACCACTCGCACGAACATTAGCACTAATACTAGCCGTCACACTAACACTAGCAATAACACTTGCAATAACACTAACACTAGCACTAACACTAGCAGTAATACTAGCACTAGCCCTATCAATAGCACTAACAATAGCACTAATACCAGCAATAACACTAGTACTAACACTAGCACTAGCACCAGCCCTAACACTAGCACTAATACTACCACTAACACTAGCCCTAACACTAGCACTAACAATAGCACTAACACTAGCCCTAACACTAGCACTAACACTACCACTAGCACGAACACTAGCACTAATACTAGTCCTAACACTAACACTAGCTCTAACACTAGCCCTAATACTAGCACGAACACTAGCACTAATACTAGCCCTAACACTAGTACTAACACTAGCACTAACACTAGCACCAGCCTTAACACTAGCACTAACACTAGCAATAACATTAACACTAGCACTAACACTAGAACTAACACTAGCACTAACACTAACGCTAGCACTAACACTAGAACTAACACTAGCGCTAACACTAGCAATAGCACTAACACTAGCACTAACACTAGCACTAACACTAACGCTAGCACTAACACTAGCACTAACACTAGCGCTAACACTAACACTAGCCCTAACACTAGCACTAACACTAGCACTAACACTGTCACCAGCCTTAACACTAGCACTAACACTAGCAATAACATTAACACTAGCACTACCACTATCACTAACACTAGCACTAGCCCTAACACTAGCAATAACACTAGCACCAACACTAGCACTAACACTAGCACTAACACTAACGCTAGCACTAACGCTAGCACTAACACTAGCACTAGCCCTAAGACTAACACTAGCACTAACACTAGCCCTAACACTAGCACTAATACTAGCACTAACATTAACACTAGCCCTAACACTAGCACTAGCCCTCACACTAGCAGTAACACTAGCACTAACACTAGCACTAGCCCAAACACTAACACTAGCACTAACACTAGCACTAACACTAGCACTAGCCCTAACACTAGCACTAGCACTAGCCCTAACACTAACACTAGCACTAACACTAACACTAGCCCTAACACTAGCACTAACACTAGCACTAACACTAACGCTAGCCCTAACACTAGCACTAACACTAGCCCTAACACTAACACTAGCACTAACACTAGCACTAACACTAGCAGTAACACTAGCACTAGCAATAGCACTAACACTAGCAATAACACTAGCACTAACATTAGCACTAGCCTTATCACTAGCACTAACACTAACACTAGCACTAGCCCGAACACTAGCACTAACACTAGCCCTAACACTAGCCCTAACACTAGCACTAACACTAGCACTATCGATAGCACTAACACTAGCACTAACACTAGCACTAGCAATAGCACTAACACTAGCACTAGCACTCGCCTTAACACTAGCACTAACACTAGCACTAACACTAATACTAGCCCTAACACTAGCACTAACACTAGCACCAGCCCTAACACTAGCACTAACAGTAGCACTAACACTAGCACTAGCCCTATCACTAACACTAGCACTCACACTAGCCCTAACACTAGCACTAGACCTAATACTAACACTAGCATTAACACTAGCACTAACACTAACATTAGCACTAACACTAGCACTAGCCCTAACACTAGCACTAACACTAGCCCTAACACTAGCACTAACACTAGCACTAACACTAGCAATAACACTAGCACTAACACTAGCCCTATCACAAGCACTAGCACTAACACTAGAACTAGGCCTAATACTAGCACTAACACTAGCACTATCACTAGCAGTAACACACACTAGCACTAGCCCTAACACTATCCCTAACACTAGCACTAACACTAGCACTAGCCCTAACACTAGCACTAACACTAGCACTAACACTAGCACTATCCCTAACACTAGCACTAACACTAGCCCTAACACTAGCACTAACCCTAACCCTAACACTAGCACTAGCCCTAACACTAGCACTAATACTAGCACTAGCACTAACACTAGCCCTAACACTAGCACTAACACTAGCCATAACACTAACACTAGCCCTAACACTAGCACTAACACTAGCACTAACACTAGCACCAGCCCTAACACTAGCCCTAACACTAGCACTAACACTAGCACTAGCCCTAACACTAGCACTAACACTAGCACTAACACTAGCACTAGCCCTAACACAAACACTAGCACTAACACTAGCACTAACACAAGCACTAGCCCTAACACTAGCATTAACACTAGCACTAACACTAGCACTAACACTAGCACTAACACTAGTACTAACACTAGCCATAACACTAACACTAGCCCTAACACTTGCACTAACACTAGCACTAACACTCCACTAACACTAGCACTAACACTAACACTCCACTAACACTAGCACTAACACTAGCACTAACACTCCACTAGCACTAACACTAACACTCCACTAACACTAGCACTAACACTAGCACTAACACTCCACTAGCACTAACACTAGCACTAACACTAGCACTACCACTCCACTAACACTAGCACTAACACTCCACTAACACTAGCACTAACACTCCACTAGCACTAACACTAGCACTAACACTCCACTAGCACTAACACTCCACTAACACTAGCACTACCACTCCACTAACACTAGCACTAACACTCCACTAACACTAACACTAGCCCCACTGTCACCATGACTCTCCCTCCCCCTCTCGCTTTCTCAGCGCCCCCCCCCCCCACATCTCCCCAACCCCCCCCCGCGTTTCCCCCCCCATGTCCCCCCCCCCGTCTCCCTCCTCACGTCTCCCCCTCCCACGTTTCCCCCCCCACGTCTCGTCTCCCCCTCCCACGTCTCCCCCCCCCACGTCCCCCCCCCCCCACGTCTCCCCCCCCCACGTCTCCCCCCCCCACGTCTCCCCCCCCCACGTCTCCCCCCTCCCCCACGTCTCCCCCCCCCGTCTCCCCCCCCCCCCCACGTCTCCCCCCGCCTGGTGTAATGGGGAGACACTGGGAGGCCGCGATACAGAGCCAGAGAATCATCAATCACTCGCGGCACACGCTGCACTGACATCACACGCACACACACAGCACACACACCACACACACAGCACACACACGCCACACACACACACAGCACACACACAGCATACACACTACACACAGCACACACAGCATACACACAGCACACACACCACACACACCACACACACAGCACACACACATCACACACACACAGCACACACACATCACACACACACACAGCACACACACCACACACACATCACACACAACACACACACCCACACACACAGCACACACACAGCACACACACATCACACACCACACACACACCACACACACACCACACACACATCACACACACACAGCAGACACACCACACACACAGCACACACACACATCACACACACACACACACACACACACCACACACACACCACACACACATCACACACACACAGCACACACACCACACACACACATCACACACACACACACCACACTCACAGCACACACACAGCACACACACCACACACACACATCACACACAACACACACACCACACACACAGCACACACACAGCACACACACCACACACACACACACATCACATACACACAGCACACACACCACACACACAGCACACACACTACACACACATACAGCACACACACACAGCACACACACAGCACACACACAGCATACACACACACCACACACACACCACACACACACATACATCACACACACACAGCACACACACACAGCACACACACAGCACACACACAGCATGCACACACAGCACACACACACCACACATACACATCACACACACACCACACACACACACCACACACACAGCATTCACACACAGTACACACACCACACATACACACCACACACACATCACACACCACACACACACCACACACACACAGCATACACACAGCACACACACAGCATGCACACACAGCACACACACACACCACACATACACATCACACACACACCACACACACACCACACACACAGCATTCACACACAGTACACACATCACACACCACACACCACACACACACACACCACACACACACAGCATACACACACACCACACACACACACCACACACACACACAACACGCACACACACCACACACACGCGCTCAAGGACAAAGATCCCCCGGGTAGCCTCCACTCACTACTGGCTGACCAGCAGCACCACGACCGCCTGTGTCTCCGCAGCGGTGATGTTTTACCCATCACGCCAGAAGTGCATTAACGGCCGAGTAGACTTAAGGGAGGCCCAGGACCGGTTGAGATATTTGCCACTGACGTTGTTTGTGAGCCGGGGATTGAACTCGAGTCGCCGGGTTCGTAGCACGATGCGCTAACCACTGCGCCACCAATCCACACACGCGCACACACACGCGCACACGTGACAGACGGAACACACTACACCATTGTACAATGCCACCCTCTTGAGCTATAGCCATGCCACCTGCGTGCTATGTGCCGTGCCACCCTGCGTTGTATGTGCCACCCTGCGTGCTATGTGTCGTGCCACGCTGCGTGCTATGTGCCACCCTGCGTGCTATGTGCCACCCTGCGTGCTATGTGCCACCCTGTGCGCTACGTGCCACCCTGTGCGCTATGTGCCACCCTGCGTGCTATGTGCCACCCTGTGCGCCGTGCGCCACCCTGCGTGCTACGTGCCACCCTGCGCGCCGTGCGCCACGCTGTGCCACCTCGGAGAAGCGCTGCACGTCCTGGGTGAGGGTCCCGACGCGGCGCCATCTGAAGTGCCGCAGGAAGCGCGCGATGGCCGGGTTCACGGCGTTGTCCGAGGGCACGGTGCGCAGGAAGAAGGGATACTTCTTCTTGTCGGCCAGCACCGGGGTCGTGGCCGCGAACGACAGCTTGGGGGGGCGGGGGGGGCGTGGAGGGCACGAGGGGAGGGGGGCACGGGGGGGCACGGGGGGGCAGGGCACAGCACACGGTGTGTCATCGAGCGCTTCGTAATGCTGTGATGTGTGGTGGTGCGTGGTGATGGTACGTGGTGATGGAGGAGGTGGTGGTAGTGGGTGGTAGTGATGGTGGGTCGGGGTGGTGAGTGGAGATTAAGGCCTCGTTCACGCACTCACCGTCTCACTCACCCATTCACTCCCTTTACTGACTCACTCTCACACTCACTCGGCTGCTCATTGCCCCGTTCACCCACTCACTCGCACACGAAACCATTCACTCACTCGCACACCACCCACTCACTCACCACCCACTCACTCGCACACTAAACCACCCGTTCACCCACCCACCCACTCACAGCTCACCCCTACACACACACACCACCCACTCACCCACCCACCCACTCACTCACAGCTCACCCCTTCACACACACACCACCCACTCACTCACCACCCACTCACTCGCACACTAAACCACCCATTCACCCACCCACCCACTCACAGCTCACCCCTTCACACACACACACACCACCCACTCGCCCACCCACTCACTCACAGCTCACCCCTTCACACACACACCACCCACTCACTCACCACCCACTCACTTGCACACTAAACCACCCACCCACCCACTCACAGCTCACCCACTTAACGGACGTGTTCACCCCACGCTCTTTGACAGCTTTTGGGACTCATTACAACGCGCGGAGATTTCTCCAGAGAGAGAGAGAGGAGGAGGAGAGGCAGCGTGGGAAGGGAGCGAAGAGAAAGGCAAATTGAGCTTGAGAGCGATACAGGAGCATAGAGAGAAACGGAGGAAAGTGTGAGATGGGAGAGAGCGAGAGAGCGACAGGGGAGAGAGGGAAGGATGGACGGAGAGAGAAAGATGGGAGGGAGATTTGGGATGGAGGTGACGGGAAACAGGGATGGAAAGAGGGAGAGAGAGAGAGATGGTGAAAGGGGGAGGGGAGGTTTGTAGCTTAAGAGAAAGAGAGAGGGAGAGGATGGAGAGCCGGGGATGAGAGGAAGGGAAGGAGGAGAGAGCTGGAGGACCCAGGGAGAGGGAGGGGAGAGGGACTGCGGGAGAGGGTATGGTTGGAGGTGATGGGAGATAGGGATGGAAGGAACGAGGGAGGGAGAAACGGAGAGAGGAGAGAGCGGGAGACGACATTCGGGGATTGAGGGCGAGACAGGGAGAGGGTGGAGGGGGTGGAGAGCGGGGTGATGAGGTGAAGCTGCTGGATTACGGAGGACACGGCCCAGATTTGGTGACGGCGATGATGATGACGATGTCCTCAAAGCACGACATTCCCTCCCCAGTACATGCATCATTATACATGCACGCATACACACTACACACACACACAAAGACAAAGATCTCCCGTATAGCCTATCAACAGACCGTTGGGGCAAGTGCTGTTGGCGAGCACCTATGAAGTCCGGCACGAGCAAACAGAGCGGGTGGGTGGCCGGCACCACGCCCGACTCAGCCTCCTCGCCACCCTCGCCACCCTCACCACCGACCACTCACCCACACCGCTGGCCACTCACCCGTATTCTTTCACACCCTGGCCACCCTCACCCACTCACCAACCCTCATCGCCCGGTGAGTAGTGACAAGGGGGGGGGGGGGGTCACGATTGATATCTGAGCGCGGCTTTAAACGCCGACTCTTTCATCTCCCGCGCGCGTGCGTGCACGGGAGCACCTGGTGCGGTTGTGTACACTTCAGCGCTGGGGAGACAAAGGCGGCCGGGCGTGGTGCTGGCCACCCACCCCCTCGTGTGCCGTACCGGCCTTCATAGGTGCTACTCGCTGCCAGCACTTGCCCCAACAGTCTGTTACAGGCTACACGGGGGAGCTTTGTCTTTGTTTGGTCACGTGGTCTCTCACGCAGCGTGGCCCTTCTCACTCCTACCGCTGCCCATTCTCCATAGCAGAGCCAGTTGTGGAAAGTCCACATTACTATGACGGGGGATGGTGGTGAGGGAGGGGGGGGGAGAGGCAGCAATGCTGACGTCTACGCACCGCACCAGGTAATCGTTTAAGGCTGAGCCGACCTAGGGGAGGCCCAGACCACGGTTCAAACATTCGCCACAGTCGGCCGCCGGGTTCGTAGCGCAGCGCGCTAACCGCTGCGCCACCGCGCTCTGCAACACAAAGACAAAGATCCCCCGTGTAGCCTTAACAGACTGTAGGGGCAAGTGCTGGCACAGAGCAGCAGCACCTATGAAGGCCGGAACGGCGCACGAGGGGGTGGGTGGCCAGCACCACGCCCGGCCGCCTTTGTCTTCCCAGTGGCGATGTTTACTACACACCGCACCGGGTACTCGTTTGAGGCTGCGTCGACCAGGACCGGTTCAGATATCCATCGCCGTTGTTTGCCGTGAGCGGGGAATCGAACTCGGGTCGCCGGGTTCGTAGCGCGGCGCGCTAACCGCTGCACCACCGCTCCCCCACACACGCGCTAACGCACGCGAACACACACTCACAGCTACCGGATTATAAGACGCACCATCCCCCTCGCCCCCAAGTTTTGCTTTAAACAAAACCCCTGGGAGTGGCCGTGCATCTTATAGAGCAGGAGGGAGGAGGTTAAATATATCTCCACGTCACGGTCACGTGGCAGCCTCCAGGCGACGGTTCCCCCCGCAGTGATTCATGCGCGGCCAAAATCAATAGCGAAATAAACCGATTAATATCGTTACACTCTTTCACCTGCGTCTCTCTCTCGCTCCCTCCACCTGTGTGTCTCTCTCTCTGTGTGTGTCCCTATCTGTGTCTACCCGTGTCTCTACTTTCCACCTGTACATATCTCTCGGTGTCTACCTGTGTATCTACTTGTGTCTCTGTGTCTCTCTCTGTGTCTCTATCTGTGTCTCTCTCCATCTGTGTCTCTCTCTGTGTCTCTATCTGTGTCTCTCTCTCTCCACCTGTGTCTTTCTCTGTGTCTCTACGTGTCTCTCTGTCTCTGTGTCTCTACGTGTGTCTCTATCTGTGCTCTATCTGTGTCTCTCTCCATCTGTGTCTCTCTCTGTGTCTATCTGTGTCTCTTTCTCTCCACCTGTGTCTTTCTCTGTGTCTCTACGTGTCTCTCTGTCTCTACGTGTGTCTCTGTGTCTCTACGTGTGTCTCTGTGTCTCTACGTGTGTCTCTGTGTCTCTACGTGTGTTTCTACCTATGCCTCTCTGTCTCTCTCCACCTGTGTCTCTCTCAGTGTCTCTATCTGTGTGTGTGTCTCTCTCCACCTGTGTCTCTCTCTGTGTCTCTACGTATGTCTCTGTCTCTACATGTGTCTCTCTCTGTGTCTCTACGTGTGTCTCTGTATCTCTACCTGTGTCTCTCTCTCTGTCTCTACGTGTGTCTCTGTGTCTCTACTTGTCTACCCGTGCCTCTACCTGTGTCTCTCTGTCTCTCTCCACCTGTGTCTCTCTCTGTCTCTCTCTGTGTCTCTATCTGTGTCTCAACCTGTGTCTCTACGTGTGTCTCTCTCTCTCCGCCTGTGTCCCTACTTGCAACAGTTTGATTCCCGCTCACGGCTAACATCATCAGTAGCGAGTGATATCTGATTCCGTCCTGGGCCTTCCCTAGGTCGACTCAGCCTCAAATGAGTACCTGGTGCGGCACGTAAAAAAACATGGCCACTGGGGAGACAAAGGCGGCCGGGCGTGGTGCTGGCCACCCACCCGCTCTCGTGTCCTGTTATCCTTCATAGGTGCCACCCGCTCACAAAACTTGCCCCAACAGTCTGCAAACGCTTCAGGGGGAATCTTTGTCCGTAGTGTGCGTGCGTGAGCGTGCGTCCGTCCTCCGTGACCGTGCCTCGAGTGACAGCGTACCGCTCAAGGCACTTGCCCCAGCGGGGCTACACGGTCGAGGGGGGGGGGGGGTGGGGAACCTTTGCCTTTATCTTTGTACCTGCACGAGGTCCCAGGAGAGAAGGGCCTCGGCGATGGTGGCCGTCACGGTGGGGCAGACGCCGCCGAACACCAGCGAAGTGTTGGGCCCAAAGTTGATCGCGTCGAAGAACGCCTTGAGGCCCTTGGCGTTGTCGCACTGCGCGTGGTGGGGGCGGCGGGGGGAGGGGTGGGCAAGGGGAGGAGGGGTGGGGTGGGGGAACAAGGAAGAAGAATCGTGCACACGCACCGGGGCTCTGTAACGCTTCCCATTGATGCTTCAACCGCCACTCCGAGACGTTTGCTTGAGCTGGGGAACCGATCTGGACGCGTTCAGCAATACCGCTGGGCGTGGTGCGTCGCCTTAAAATAAAACATCTATATATTAAATAGGCGACGTTTCGAGTAATGGCCCTTCTTCGTCCGATGTGCTCTGAAGAAGGGTCATTGCCCGAAACGTCAGCTGGTATTAGCATAGGAGGTTTTATCCTTACTGGCAATAAAGCGGGAGCTGTTCAAACACCAACTACTTCTTGGAAGGCATCAAGTTTGCACCAACCACGGCAACCTTCTTGAGGGCCTAGCCTCACCGCCAGTGTTAGACGATTGGGACGCCAAGAGGCGAACAGGCGCCACCTGTTCCACATTCTTGCATTTTAAGGCCACACCGATACGCACGCACACGCGCTCCGTGGCGCGTGCAACTGTTGGCTGCGTTTGTTACACCGCTACCAACGCAGCAACAACAGCAGCAGCATCGCCAGATCGATTGGCAGACTGTTTGAGAAACGGTTTTGCTGGCTGGCCTCCTGCCTGGCTGGCTGGCTGGAGGGAGCGGAGGCGGGGGGGTGATGTGCGGGCTGATAGTGTAAAATGTAAGCTGGGGTGAGTGGGTGGTTTGCCACCTTTAGCACCTTGCAGAGTCCCCCAAACCCGTTTATATAACGAGCGCAGCTGCTACGGGAATGCGATCTGTCGTGTGGGGAGCTGACCCCCCCAACACACCCCCCCAAACCCCCCCACCCTCCAAACCCCCCCCAACCCACCCCCCTTTCTCCCTCCTCCTCCGCACGGTGACCGCGTAACGCCGGCGGCCTCTACTCGGCCTCCCAATTCCCAGACTGTCCGGGTCAACTCCGGACAGGTGGCAACCCTGAAGGAGGGTGGGCGGGTGGGTGAGTAGTGGGTGAGTAAGTGGGTGAGTGAGTGGGTGAGTGAGTGAGTGTGTGAGTGAGTGGGTGAGTGGGTGGTGAGTGGGTGGGTGGGTGAGTGAGTGAGTGGGTGGGTGGGTGAGTGGGTGGGTGGGTGAGTGAGTGGGTGGGTGAGTGGGTGAGTGGGTGGGTGGGTGAGTGGGTGGGTGAGTGAGTGGGTGGGTGAGTGGGTTAGTGAGTGGGTAGGTGAGTGGGTGGGTAGGTGGGTGAGTGAGTGAGTGGGTGGGTGGGTAAGTGAGTGAGTGGGTGGGTGAGTAGGTGGGTGGGTGAGTGGGTGGGTGGGTAGGTGAGAGTTGCTGGGTGAGTGAGTGAGTGGGTGGATGAGTGGGTGAGTGGGTGGGTCGGTGAGCAAGTGGGTAGGTGGGTGGGTGAGTGGGTGGGTGGGTGAGTGAGTGAGTGGGTGGGTGAGTGGGTGAGTGGGTGGGTGGGTGGGTAAGTGAGTGGGTGGGTGAGTAGGTGGGTGGGTGAGTGGGTGAGTGAGTGTGTGGGTGCGTGGGTGAGAGGGTGGGTGGATGAGTGGGTAGGTGGGTAGGTGAGAGTGGGTGGGTGAGTGAGTGAGTGGGTGGATGAGTGGGTGAGTGGGTGGGTGAGTGGGTGGGTCGGTGAGCAAGTGGGTAGGTGGGTGGGTGATTGGGTGGGTGAGTGGGTAAGTGGGTGGGTGAGTGGGTGGGTGGGTGAGTGGGTGAGTGGATGAGTGAGGGGGGGAGTGGGCGGGTGAGTGAGTGGGTGAGTGGGTGGGTGAGTGAGTGGATGAGTGAGTGGGTTGGTGAGTGGGTGGTTTAGTGTGGGTGAGTGGGTGGTGTGTGTGTGTAAAGGGGTGAGCTGTGAGTGGGTGGGTGGGTGAGTGGGTGGGTGAATGAGTGGGTGAGTGGGTTAGTGGGTGGGTGGGTGAGTGATTGGGTGAGTGAGTGAGTGGGTGGGAGAGTGAGTGGGTGAGTGAGTGGGTGAGTGGGTTGGTGAGTGAGTGGTTAAGTGAGTGAGTGGGTGAGTGGGTGGGTGAGTGAGTGAGTGGGTGGGTGGGTGGGTAAGTGAGTGAGTGGGTGGGTGAGTAGGTGGGTGGGTGAGTGGGTGGGTGGGTAGGTGAGAGTTGCTGGGTGAGTGAGTGAGTGGGTGGATGAGTGGGTGAGTGGGTGGGTCGGTGAGCAAGTGGGTAGGTGGGTGGGTGAGTGGGTGGGTGGGTGAGTGAGTGAGTGGGTGAGTGGGTGAGTGGGTGAGTGGGTGGGTGGGTGGGTAAGTGAGTGGGTGGGTGAGTAGGTGGGTGGGTGAGTGGGTGAGTGAGTGGGTGGGTGCGTGGGTGAGAGGGTGGGTGGATGAGTGGGTAGGTGGGTAGGTGAGAGTGGGTGGGTGAGTGAGTGAGTGGGTGGATGAGTGGGTGAGTGGGTGGGTGAGTGGGTGGGTCGGTGAGCAAGTGGGTAGGTGGGTGGGTGATTGGGTGGGTGAGTGGGTAAGTGGGTGGGTGAGTGGGTGGGTGGGTGAGTGGGTGAGTGGATGAGTGAGGGGGGGAGTGGGTGGGTGAGTGAGTGGGTGAGTGGGTGGGTGAGTGAGTGGATGAGTGAGTGGGTTGGTGAGTGGGTGGTTTAGTGTGGGTGAGTGGGTGGTGTGTGTGTATAAAGGGGTGAGCTGTGAGTGGGTGGGTGAATGAGTGGGTGAGTGGGTTAGTGGGTGGGTGGGTGAGTGATTGGGTGAGTGAGTGAGTGGGTGGGTGGGAGAGTGAGTGGGTGAGTGAGTGGGTGAGTGGGTTGGTGAGTGAGTGGTTAAGTGAGTGAGTGGGTGAGTGGGTGGGTGAGTGAGTGAGTGAGTGGGTGAGTGGGTGGGTGGGTGAGTGAGTGGGTAGGTGAGTGCGTGGGTAGGTGGGTGAGTGAGTGGGTGGGTGGGTGTGTGAGTGAGTGGCTGAGTGGGTGGGTAGTGGGTGAGTAAGTGGGTGAGTGAGTGGGTGAGTGAGTGAGTGTGTGAGTGAGTGGGTGAGTGGGTGGGTGAGTGGGTGGGTGGGTGAGTGAGTGGGTGAGTGGGTGGGTGGGTGGGTGAGTGGGTGGGTGGGTGGGTGAGTGAGTGGGTGGGTGAGTGGGTTAGTGAGTGGGTAGGTGAGTGGGTGGGTAGGTGGGTGAGTGAGTGGGTGGGTGGGTGGGTAAGTGAGTGAGTGGGTGGGTGAGTAGCTGGGTGGGTGAGTGGGTGAGTGGGTGGGTGGGTAGGTGAGAGTTGCTGGGTGAGTGAGTGAGTGGGTGGATGAGTTGGTGAGTGGGTGGGTCGGTGAGCAAGTGGGTAGGTGGGTGGGTGAGTGGGTGGGTGGGTGAGTGAGTGGGTGGGTGAGTGGGTGAGTGGGTGGGTGGGTGGGTAAGTGAGTGAGTGGGTGGGTGAGTAGGTGGGTGGGTGAGTGGGTGAGTGAGTGGGTGGGTGCGTGGGTTAGAGGGTGGGTCGATGAGTGGGTAGGTGAGAGTGGGTGGGTGAGTGAGTGAGTGGGTGGATGAGTGGGTGAGTGGGTGGGTGAGTGGGTGGGTCGGTGAGCAAGTGGGTAGGTGGGTGGGTGATTAGGTGGGTGAGTGGGTAAGTGGGTGGGTGAGTGGGTGGGTGGGTGAGTGGGTGAGTGGATGAGTGAGGGGGTGAGTGGGTGGGTGAGTGAGTGGGTGAGTGGGTGGGTGAGTGAGTGGATGAGTGAGTGGGTTGGTGAGTGGGTGGTTTAGTGTGGGTGAGTGGGTGGTGTGTGTGTGTAAAGGGGTGAGCTGTGAGTGGGTGGGTGGGTGAGTGGGTGGGTGAATGAGTGGGTGAGTGGGTTAGTGGGTGGGTGGGTGAGTGATTGGGTGAGTGAGTGAGTGGGTGGGAGAGTGAGTGGGTGAGTGAGTGGGTGAGTGGGTTGGTGAGTGAGTGGGTAAGTGAGTGAGTGGGTGAGTGGGTGGGTGGGTGAGTGAGTGAGTGGGTGGGTGAGAGTGGGTGAGTGGGTGGGTGAGTAAGTGGGTGAGTGAGTGGGTGGGCGAGTGGGTGGGTGAGTGAGTGAGTGAGTGGGTGAGTGAGTGGGTGGGTGAGTGAGTGAGTGAGTGGGTGAGTGGTTGGGTGAGTGGGTGGGTGAGTGGGTGAGTGGGTGGGTGGGTGAGTGAGTGAGTGGGTGAGTGAGTGGGTGGGTGGGTTGTGGGTTGTGGGTGAGTGGGTGGGTGAGTGGGTGGGTGCGTGGGTGAGTGAGTGGGTGGGTGAGTGGGTGAGTGAGTGAGTGGGTGAGTGGGTGGGTGCGTGGGTGAGTGAGTGGGTGAGTGGGTGAGAGTGGGTGGGTGGGTGAATGAGTGGATGAGTCGGTGAGTGGGTGGGTGGGTGAGTGGGTGAGTGAGTGGGTGAGTGAGTGGGTGGGTGAGTGGGTGAGTGAGTGGGTGGGTGGGTGGGTGAGTGGGTGGGTGAGTGGGTGGTGGGTGGGTGAGTGAGTGAGTGGGTGAGTGAGTGGGTGGGTGGGTGAGTGGGTGAGTGAGTGGGTGCGTGGGTTGTGGGTGAGTGAGTGGGTGAGTGAGTGAGTGAGTGGGTGAGTGGGTGAGTGATTGGGTGAGTGAGTGGGTGAGTGGGTTGTGGGTGAGTGAATGGGTGAGTGAGTGGGTGAGTGAGTGGGTGAGTGAGTGAGTGGGTGGGTGAGTGAGTGGGTGAGTGGGTTGTGGATGAGTGAGTGGGTGAGTGGGTGGGTGAGTGAGTGAGTGGGTGAGTGAGTGAGTGGGTGAGTGGGTGAGTGGGTTGTGGGTGAGTGAGTGGGTGAGTGAGTGAGTTGGTGGGTGAGTGGGTGAGTGAGTGGGTGAGTGGGTTGTGGGTGAGTGAGTGGGTGAGTGAGTGGGTGAGTGGGTGGGTGAGTGGGTGAGTGAGTGAGTGGGTGGGTGGGTGAGTGGGTGAGTGAGTGGGTGAGTGAGTGAGTGGGTGAGTGGGTTGTGGGTGAGTGAGTGGGTGAGTGAGTGGGTGAGTGAGTGAGTGGGTGGGTGAGTGGGTGAGTGAGTGGGTGAGTGGGTTGTGGGTGAGTGAGTGGGTGAGTGAGTGGGTGGGTGAGTGAGTGAGTGGGTGGGTGAGTGGGTGAGTGGGTTGTGGGTGAGTGAGTGGGTGAGTGAGTGGGTGAGTGGGTTGTGGGTGAGTGAGTGGGTGAGTGAGTGGGTGAGTGAGTGGGTGAGTGGGTGGGTGAGTGGGTGAGTGGGTTGTGGGTGAGTGAGTGGGTGAGTGAGTGGGTGAGTGGGTGGGTGAGTGAGTGAGTGGGTGGGTGGGTGGGTGAGTGAGTGGGTGGGTGAGTGGGTGAGTGAGTGGGCGAGTGAGTGGGTGAGTGAGTTGGTGGGTGGGTGGGTGAGTGGGTGAGTGAGTGGGTGAGTGGGTTGTGGGTGAGTGGGTGAGTGAGTGGGTGAGTGAGTGGGTGAGTGAGTGAGTGGGTGGGTACGTGGGTGAGTGAGTGGGTGAGTGGGTTGTGGGTGAGTGAGTGAGTGAGTGGATGAGTGAGTGAGTGGGTGGGTGAGTGGGTGAGTGAGTGGGCGAGTGAGTGGGTGAGTGGGTGAGTGAGTGGGTGGGTAAGTAGGTGAGTGATGTAGACCGTCCAGAAACACTGTATACGAGGGGGTGACCACGCCCCAAGGCCTACACAGACGGGTTCACGAACCCACTTGCTGGACTGCCCCCTCCCCCCTCCCATCCAATGCGAACCCCTTGACCAAACCCCCGGTTCCTCCATGTGGGGGTCCCGCATGCACTCCGCACGCACCCCACACACACACACCCCACACGCACACACCCCACACGCACACCGCACGCACCCCACACACACACCCCACACACACACACCCCACACGCACACACCCCACATGCACCCCGCACGCACACCGCAACGCACACCGCACGCACCCCACACGCACACCCCACACGCACACACCCCACACACACACACCCCACACACACACACCCCACACGCACACACCCCACACACACACACCCCACACACACACACCCCACACGCACACACCCCACACACACACACCCCACACGCACCCCGCAACGCACACCGCACGCACCCCACACACACACCCCACACGAACACACCCCAAACACACCCCGCACGCACCCCGCAACGCACAACGCACGCACCCACACACACACACCCCACACACACACACCCCACACGAACACACCCCACACACATACACCCCACACGCACACACCCCCCACACACACACCCCCCACACACACCCCCCACACACACACACCCCACACACACACCCCACACACACACACACCCCACACGCACACACCCCCCCACACACACACCCCACACACATACACCCCACACGCACACACCCCCCACACACACACCCCACACACACACACCCCGCACGCACCCCGCACGCACACCGCACACACCCCTCGGGATCGCTCCATTCGAAACGCTCACCCACGCGCGCAAAGACAAAGATCCCCCGGATAGGCAGCTACAGACTATTGGGGCAAGTGTTGTTAGCGAGCCGCCACGGCGCACGAGCGGGTGGGTGGCCAGCACCACGCTCGGCCGCCTTTGTCTCCCCCGCGGCGATGTTTACACACCGCACCAGGTACTACTCATTTGAGGCTAGGGGAGGCCCAGGACCTGTTCAGATAATCGTCACTGGTGACGATTATCTGAAACAAACTCAGGTCGTCAGGTTCGTAGTGCAGCGCGCTAACCGCTGCACTACCGCTCCCCACACACACACACACACTCTCACACACGTACACACACATCCCTGTGTCACAGTAATCCGGGACACCCTACTCGCACACCCTACACCTGCCATGCACGCACACGCTGCACCCATAACAACCGCCCCATGTACACCAACCCCTACACCCCCACCTACACCCCCACGCACACCTCGCACACACCCCCACGTACACCCCCACCTACACCCCCACGCACACCTCGCACACACCCCCACGTACACCCCGCACACACCCCCACGTACACCCCGCACACACCCCCACGTACACCCCCCACACACCCCCACGTACACCCCCCACACACCCCCACGTACACCCCGCACACACCCCCACGTACACCCCCACACACCCCCACGTACACCCCCCACACACCCCGCACACACCCCCACGTACACCCCGCACACACCCCCACGTACACCCCGCACACACCCCCACGTACCCCCCCACACACCCCCACGTACACCCCGCACACACCCCCACGTACACCCCGCACACACCCCCACCTACACCCCGCACACACCCCCACGAACCCCCCCCACACACCCCCACGTACCCCCCCCACACACCCCCACGTACACCCCGCACACACCCCCACGTACACCCCCACGTACACCCCGCACACACCCCCACGTACACCCCCACACGTACACCCCCACGTACACCCCCACGTACACCCCCCACACACCCCCCACACACCCCCCACACACCCCCACGTACCCCCCACACACCCCCACGTACACCCCGCACACACCCCCACGTACCCCCCCACACGCCCCCACGTACCCCCCACACGCCCCCACGTACACCCCCACACACCCCCACGTACACCCCCACACACCCCACGTACACCCCGCGTACACCCCGCACACACCCCCACGTACACCCCGCACACACCCCCACGTACACCCCGCACACACCCCCACGTACACTCCGCACACACCCCCACGTACACCCCGCACACACCCCCACGTACACCCCCACACACCCTCACACACCCTCACACACCCTCACACACCCCCACGTACACAAACACACCCCCCACGTACACCCCCACGTACACCCCGCACGCACACACAGAGCAATGCACGCACGCGGTCTGCCCGGTTGTGTTCGGACACACGAGCCCATCAAGGTTACCGCGTGAACACCCCGACCGCGTGAACACCCCACTCACACACCCCCACACACCCCCACACACCCCCACACACCCCCACACACCCCCACACACCCCCACACACCCCCACACACCCCCACACACCCCCACACACCCCCACACACCCACAAAGACAAAGATCCCCCATATAGCCTGTAACAGACTGCAGGGGCAATTGCTGTTAGCGAGCATCTATGAAGGCTGGAACGGCACACGAGGGGGTGGGTGGCCAGCACCACGCCCGACCGTCTTTGTCTCCCCAGTGGCGATGTTTACTACACACCGCACCAGGTACTCATTTGAGGCTGAGTCGACCTAGGGGAGGCCCGGGACCGGTTCAGATAATCATCACTGGTGTTGGCCGTGAGCGGGAATCGAACCCGTGTCGCCGGGTTCATAGCGCAGCGCGCTAACCGCTACTACACTACCGCTACCCTACTACAAAGACAAAAAATCCCCCGTATAGCCTTAACACCCTTTGGGGGCAAGTGCCGTTAGCGAGCACCTACGAAGGCCGGTCTACTACGACTACACACACACTGACACACACACACCGAGACACACACCGAGATACACACACAGACACCCACACAGACACACACACACCGAGACACACACTGACATACACACACCGATACACACACACTGACACACACACCGAGACACACACACCGAGACACACACACCGAGACACACACACTGACACACACACACCGAGACACACACACAGACACACACACACCGAGACACACACACAGACACACACACACACCGAGACACACACACACCGACACACACACAGACACACACACAGACACACACACACACCGAGACACACACACACACACTGACACACACACCGAGACACACACACTGACACACACACACCGAGACACACACACAGACACACACACACCGAGACACACACAGACACACACACACCGAGACACACACACTGACACACACACACCGAGACACACACACACACCGAGACACACACACTGACACACACACACACCGAGACACACACTGACACACACACACCGAGACACACACACTGACACACACACACCGAGACACACACACAGACACACACACACCGAGACACACACACAGACACATTGACCCACGCACACCCCTCGCGCCCCTGCCGCGCACCCCAGGGCCACGCACCTCCGTGTCGTACCACTTGATGGCGAGACGCCCGTGCTGGGTCAGCGAAGCGCCGCTCCCCTTGCTGTTCACCCGCGCCAGCGCCAGCTCGACCGCGGGCATGATACCCCTGGCAGAGTCGGCGGGACCCGACTTGACGTGCATGGGGATGAGGCCCATGATGGCCAGCTCCCTGCCCTGGGCCCTCCTGCCGCTACCGTGCAGCGTCCAAAGCAACAGCAGCAGCAGCAGACGCAGCAGCTGTAGCATGGTGGCGGTGATGGAGGTGTCCCCCCGGGGCTGGTTATGGATTCGGAGCGATTGAGCGATGTGCGTGGGTGATGTTGATGGGTGGGTGTCTGTGGGTGGGTAGAGTGATGGTGTGATGTGTGTGTGTGATGTGTGTCGGTGTGGGTGGGTAGAGTGATGGTGTGATGTGTGTGTGTGATGTGTGTCGGTGTGGGTGGGTAGAGTGATGGTGTGATGTGTGTGATGTGTGTCGGTGTGGGTGGGTAGAGTGATGGTGTGATGTGTGTGTGATGTGTGTCGGTGTGGGTGATGTGATGGTGTGATGTGTGTGTGATGTGTGTCTGTGTGGGTGGGTAGAGTGATGGTGTGATGTGTGTGTGTGATGTGTGTCGGTGTGGGTGGGTAGAGTGATGGTGTGATGTGTGTGTGATGTGTGTCGGTGTGGGTGGGTAGAGTGATGGTGTGATGTGTGTGTGTGATGTGTGTCGGTGTTGGTGTGTAGAGTGATGGTGTGATGTGTGTGTGATGTGTGTCTGTGGGTGGGTAGAGTGATGATGTGTGTGTGTGTGCTGTGTGTCCGTGTGGGTGGGTAGAGTGATGGTGTGATGTGTGTGTGTGATGTGTGTCGGTGTGGGTGGGTAGAGTGATGGTGTGATGTGTGTGTGTGATGTGTGTCGGTGTGGGTGGGTAGAGTGATGGTGTGATGTGTGTGTGATGTGTGTCGGTGCGGGTGATGTGTTGAGTGTGTGTGGGTGGGTAGAGTGATGGTGTGATGTGCGTGTGTGATGTGTGTCGGTGTGTGTGGGTGATATGATGCCTGTGGATAGAATTATGTTGTGATTTGTGTGTGTGTGGATGGGTGATGCGATGGTGCTTGAAGGCGTGTGTGTGTCGGTGCGTAGAGTTGATGACGGTGTGTGTGTGTGGGTGATGTGATGATGTGTCCGCGTATGTGGGGGCTGCGTGAGAATGTTGATGGTGTGTGAGACTTGTTATGTGTGTGTGTGAGATGTGACGATGTGACTGTGCGAGCAGAGTGATGGTGTGTAGGGATATGATGATGCAGATGCGATGTTTCTGTTCAGCGATGCGTGATGATGTGATGCAGCCGATGCGATGTGAGGATGTGATGCAGCCGATGATGATGATGGTCACGGCGACGGGTAACGGAGCTCTCAGAGCGAGTGCGGGTGATGTGGTGGTGAGGCGTGACGTTGGGGTGGTGTATGGATGGATGTGTGGGTTCGTGAGGATTCAAATGCCGAAAGGAATGGGGGTGCAATGGTATGATGTGCAATGGTGTGATGTGCGCCGGGATGATGCGAACCGGTGATGTGACGATGTGAATGGACGAGGTGTGGTGAGAGGTTGTGGAGGATGTGACCGCAGCTCACAACTCCTCGTATCTCTTCACTCAGCTCTCTCCCGCGCTCTCTGTCCGCTCCACTGCTTCTCGCTCGCTCTCTCTCTCTGCGCCTCCGTGTGTGCGCGACTCTCTCTCTCTCTCTGAAATCTCTCTGTCTCTCACTGTCACCCTGTCTCCCCGTGTCTCTCCGCGTCTCCAGCCTCCCCCGGCTCTCTCCGGCTCTCTATATGTGTGTCACCCTGTGTGTCTCTCTCCGTCAATGTGTCTCTCCCTGTCTCCCTGTATCTCTTTCCCTGTCTCTCCACGCGATGTCTCTGCCTCTCTCTGCCCGTGTCTCTCAGTGTATCCCCGTTGTCTCCCCCAGCGTCTCCCCGTCTCAATGTCTCTCCAGACGGTCACAGGTGCGCGCCTTACGAACAACTCCGCGCCATCATCACAATCATCGCTACCATCGCATTACCATCACCACCACTACCACCACCATCATCATCATCACGGTCGCCCTCAATTGGAGCGGATAAACCCGAACCTTGCGTCTCCACTGCGGAGCCAGAGGAGGGGGGTGGAGGAGGGAGGGAGGGAGGGAGTGGGGGAAGGAGGTGATGGGAGGGGAGGAGGAAGGAGATGGGGGAGGAGAGGGGAGGGAGAGGGGGAGTCGGGCAAGGGAGGGAGAGGGAGGTGATGAGAACGGGGGGAGGGCAGTGAGGAAGAAGGGAGGAGGGAGAACAGAGGGGGATGGGAGGTGATGAAAGTGAGGGAGGGGAGGAGAGTGGGGGTGGAACCTGATGAGAGAAGGGAACAGAAGGAGACAGGGGAGTTGAATTAAGGGAGAGAGGGAGGTGGGAGGGGGGGAGGTGGGGTGGGAGGGGGGGAGGTGGGGTGGGAGGGGGGGGAGGTGGGGGGGGAGGTGGGAGGGGGGGGAGGTGGGGTGGGAGGGGGGGGAGGTGGGGTGGGAGGGGGGGAGGTGGGGTGGGAGGGGGGGAGGTGGGGTGGGAGGGGGGGGTGGGAGGGGGGGGAGGTGGGGTGGGAGTGGGGGAGGTGGGGTGGGAGGTGGGGTGGGAGGGGGGGAGGTGGGGTGGGAGGGGGGGGAGGTGGGGTGGGAGGGGGGGAGGTGGGGTGGGAGGTGGGGTGGGAGGTGGGGTGGGAGGGGGGGAGGTGGGGTGGGAGGGGGGGAGGTGAGGTGAGGTGGGAGGTGAGGTGGGAGGGGGGTGGGAGGGGGGGAGGTGGGGTGGGATGTGGGGTGGGAGGGGGGGAGGTGGAGTGGGAAGGGGGGAGGTGAGGTGGGAGGGGGGGGGAGGTGGGAGGGAGGGAGGTGAGGTGGGGGGGGGAGGTGGGAGGGAGGGAGGTGGGAGGGAAGGAGGGATGGAGGGAGGGGGTGTGCGGAGAAAGGGATGTGAGTTGATGGAAGGTGTAGGGTTAGGGAGATGGGGGTGATGGAAGGGGAGGTGATGGAAGAGAGGGATGGGAGGGATGGCGGGAGTTGGTGTGGTGTGATGGAGAGAGGATTGGGGGGGGGGCTGATGGTAGTAGGGAGGGGAGGGGAGGGAGGAGGCGGGAGGCGCGAGGGGGATGCCCCCGGGCCCGCCTGTGTGTGGGATGGTGGTGGGGCGATGGCGACACGGGGGGATCGTCTGTGGTTTAAAACGATCGAGGCGTGTTCTCAATGCAGTACAGTATACACATGCAGTATACAAAACACACACGCGCGCGCGCATACTCGCGTACACGTGTGTGTATATACACACACACATAACAACAATCGCCGTACGCCACAAACTGGCGGTGACGTCACCACGGTGCTTGTGCCAGGCTAGGTGCACCTTGAAGCCGTCGCGTGAAGTGCCAAAGGGCTCACGGGACAGGCCCAGCAGGTGCCATGAGATGACCGGCCACTTGTGCCAGGCTAGGTGCACCTTGAAGCCGTCGCGTGAAGCGCCAAAAGGCTCACGGGACAGACCCATGCACCACCAGCTGAGCTCTCCGCTGTTGCTTTATCCGCCCGACGCTGCGCGCGCTTGTTGTGAGCGTCGCTCTTCTGCACTCCGCCCGCCTTTCGAATGCACACACGCGCACGGTGTACAAACCTACAAAGGCGCCGTCCATAAATGACGTCACGCGATTTTGGACGATTTTTGACCCCACCCCCTGGTCACACGGCGTCACACAAAGTCAGACCCCCCCAAGTATGACGTCACAAAAGCTCTGCCCCCCCCCAACCAAAAAAATACATGCTTCAAATCGCTTTAAACTATTGTCATTGTAGTGCGTATTTAATGTGGCGCTGCACTCTGATGTTGTAGGAGAAACCATTTATCAACAAGTCTAATTAAGTAGAACGTGTTTATATTTACTTAAAGTTGCGCATGTTGATGTGACGTCACATTTCTCACCCCCCCCCACCTCTTCATACATCGTCACAAATGTGTGACCCCCCCCCCCCAGGTGCGTGACGTCATTTATGGACGGCCCCAAAGGCGAGCTAATGACCACCAGTTTATACCTGGTGGTGTTCAGCGAGCACGGCACGCGAGCACGTGGCGTGGCCAACCAGCACCACGCCCGGCCGCTTTTGTCTCCCCAGTGTTGATGTTCGCGCACTGCACCGCGTACTCATTTATTTAAGGCTGAGTCGACCTACCGGTTAAAACATTCGACGCTGTCACTGGCCGTGAGCGGGACTCGAACGCGGGTCGCTCGCTGCGTTCGTGGCACATTGCGCTCACCACTCCGCACAAAAGACAAAGATCTCCCCGTGTAGCCTGTAACAGACTGTAGGGGCAAGTGCTGTTAGCGAGCAGCACCTATGAAGGCCGGAACGGCACACGAGGGGGTGGATGGCCAGCACCACGCCCGACCGCCTTTGTCTCCCCAGTGGCGATGTTTACACACCGCACCAGGTACTCATTTTAGGCTGAGTCGACCTAGGGGAGGCCCAGGACCGGTTCAGATAATCGTCGCCGGTGTCGGCCATGAGCGGGAATCGAACCCGGGTGGTCAGGTTCATCGCGCAGCGTGCTAACCGCTACACAGTGACCCACAAACACATACACACAGCTACCTGTACATACGCACACCAGTACACACACACTCGTGCAGCATGAACAAGGGCGGTTAGCGAGCGCCTATTAAGACAGGGACACAACTGTCAACTCACGCCGGCGGGGAGATGATTGATGATTTGAACTCTCTCCCTGAACTCATCCACTCTCCTACTTCTCTCCCCCGTCTCTCGCCCCTCTCCCTCAATCCCCCTCTATACCCCCTCACCTCTCCCTCATCTCTCCCTCCTCTCCCTCAATCCCCCTAGACACCCCCTCACCTCTCCCTCATCTCTCCCTCAATGCCCCTAGACACCTCCTCACCTCTCCTCATCTCTCCCCAATCTCCCTCAACCCTCCTCTCCTCCCTATCCCCATCACCTTTTCCTCATCTCTCCACCATACCCCCTCTCTCCCCCCCTCCCTCAAACCGTCCCCCTCTCCCCCCTCTCCCACTCACCTTTCTCTCATCTTTCTCCCTCCACCCCCCTCTCTACTGCCTCTCCTCTCCCCCTCTCTCCCTCACCTCTCCCTCATGTCTCCCCCCCTCTCCGTCACACCCCCTCTCTCCCCCTCTCATCTCTAACCCCTCTCCCTCACACCCCCCTCTCTCACACCCCCTCTCCCCCCCCTCACCTCTACCTCATCTCCCCCCTCTTCCTCACCCCCCCCCCCTGTCCCCCATCTCCCACTCACCTCTCTCGCATCTCTCTCTCTGTAACTCCTCTTGTTTTACGATCACAGGAAACAAGAAGATGCTCGGTGTAGTC